CTCCGTTCTTCTGGCAGAGCACGTTCCTGTCGTTAAGTGCATCCTGAGAAAGGATGTCTGTAGGAAGCAAGTTTGTAGAAACTTTGAGAATTTTTATTATTCCTTCAAAAGTTGGAAGACTTGGCTTTCTAGGTCTCTAGTTTACAATGTCAACATTGAATTCTGGAGCCTTTCTGATTCCAGATTCTTTATGACTAGTTTCATTTTATGTTTAGGGATTTGTAGAGATTCTTTGCTTTTGTCTTTAGTATTCTGAAATTTTGTGCTGATATTTCATGGTTTGGATCCTGTCTTGATTGCATATGCTTGATCTTTTCTTTTCAACTTGAAAACTCTGGTTTCAAATTTGGGAATTTTTCTTGAATATCAGTGTTTGATGTCTGTCTTTTCCTTATTGTCTCCTGAAACTGTTGCTGCTGGGCATATGGAACCACTTTCACTGACATCAGAAAATTTTTTTCCTCCTTTCTCATGTCTGTGTCTGTTTTCTCACAACTTTTGTTCGATTTTATGATAAAAACTTTTAAGTCTTTGATTTGTACTTTCCTGGTTCTAATTGAGCTATAATAGCATTACTAAAATATAATTTACTATCATAAAACCCACTCTTTCAGTATGTACAGTCAGTGGTTGTAAGTGTATCCATAGGGTTGCGCAGTCATCACCACTGTCTAACTGTAAAGCATTTTCATCTACCCTCTCAGAAAGCTGTGTACCAAACAGCTGTCATTACCTGTCTCCTTTGCTCCAGTCACTTGTAAACACTAATCTTTCTGTCTCTCTGAGTTTGTCTGTTACAACCAGTTCATATAAATGGACTCATAGGATATTCAGCCTTTTGTGACTGGGCTCTTTAATTTGGCATAAAATTTTAAAAGTTCATGCATGCTGTAGCATGTATAATCCATTCCTTATTATCTAGTGATACTGTATGACCACAGCACTGTCTATCCTTATTTCACCCCTTGATGGACATTAAGTTCACTTCTAGGCTAGTGTAAATATTGGTGCTAGAAATATTAGGTTATACATTTGGTATGGACATACCTTTTCAGTTCTCTTGGGTATATAACCTAGGAGCCTGACTGCTTGATCATAGCTAGCTGTGTTTAACATTTTGAGGAACTGCCAAACTAGTTTCTATAGCATGCACCATTCTGCACCATTTTACATTCCCACCAGCAGAATATAAAGTTCCAGTTTCTCCACTTTCTCACCAGTACTTGTTATTGTCCATCTTTCTATTTTAGCCATCATAATGGTGTTCATATATTTAATTTTTAAGAGTATTTTCCCCTCCAAGTTCAAAGAGGCCTCAGTGCCCTTTTTAAAAGTAGCTTCTGGTTCCATGAATAGAAAATCATTTATTGTATATTACATTAATAGGTATCTTTGAAGTTTTCTTCAGATCTTGTTTATTTCGGGTTGCTTTTGCTTGTTCTGGTCTTCCCCTTTGATGTGGCAAGCTTGTTTTAGGGTCTGTACTGAGGGTGGTGCTGATGTGCGACGTGCAGGCTGAGTATTGGGCTTCTGGACCCCGTGCCTCGTTCCAGGATGGTCTGGTCGGGCTGTTTACTGGTGGAAGAATGGCTAGCTTCAAGGTTGTTGGTCCCCTATCAGGGATGCAGGGCAGAAGGACTGCTTGCCCTGCTGAGAAGCTTGATGGTGAGAGCCTGGCGGCCTGTCGGAGCAGCGGTCGAGTTACTTCATTGCTCTGCTTTGGTGCCGTGCCCTTGCGCCATGTGTTCCCTCTGTGTCCTGATCACAGACCTTCACAAATCAGGCTTCCTGCTGGAGGGCAGAGGGCCAGTTTCCCTGAGGCTTTGCGCAGACTGGATTGGAGTTCAGTGCCTGACTGAAAGTTCCATTCCCCATCGCCTTTCTCTGAGAAGCCCCTGGTCCCCGAATCCCAAGCTTGTTGAAGTTTAGCAGGGTTGTCACTTTCTCCACTGTGGGCTTTCTTGGGTGCTTCATCAGTGTTCTCAAATCTGTATTCCAGTTTGCAAATGTCTGCTGTCCTCTTTTCTCAACCTTGTCAGTTTTGCATTTTGAGAAAAAAATGCTTTTGGTTGTAGTTTTACCTCATTTTGGGGAGAGAATAAAGGCAGATGCTGTATCTACACTCTCTCCCCAGAGGCCTGAAATAGGGGCCAACAGAATCCTGTGTGGCTTTACCGTAACCTAGTCACACCTGCAGCGAGCCTGCTTCCGAATAAAGCTATCCTGAGGTGGGAAGCGTGGCTGCGGGGTGCACCATACAATTTGGGGGTGGGACACTCTTCAACCCATAACTAATGGTGACCCAATAGTTCTTTGTCTAGAAAACTGTTATTTATCCATAAGAAGTGTTCGTGCTTTACCTCCTCACACTTTCTGTCTAATTGTACGAAGATTATTGAGAAGCCGGATGCAGTGCAAGGTGTACAGGCACTGGCTTGTGAGCACCAGTGAGGAAGACAGCCTCAATTGGGTGTTGACAGATAGGGTCCAGTCGGTGCGTAGAATAATTAATACAGTATTCTGTTCATATCGGGGATGGGAGGCTGCGTCAAGGCTAGAAACTCGGCTGTAACCTAATGCTCTAATAGTGAAAGGAGAGAGTGAAGCACAGTAACACATTCCCACTGGTGTGAACCACTGTGTGGTACATGCGTACTGTCCCATCCGGCAGCTTGTACCATTGGTGGTACAAAAGGATTCAATCACTTTTATTGGCCTTTTTACTAATAAATTTAATAAATAGTCTATAAATGGATTGAATCTAGTTAGTTGCTTGATTTTGAATAATTACTGGCAAAATGTAAATATTAATCAATACTATTCATATCACTTAAATTATTACAATGATCAGCAAACTTATTTTCCTAAATTAAAAGAAATTTATATTCATGAATATTTTATCAGTAATTCTCTAAATTTTAACAGAAATCTAACAATATCCATCGCTAGTGTTTATAATATGCATTTACAACTGCTATACCACAAATTAGCTGTGTTACAATTCTTTATACCATTTTAATATTTTCCTTAAACTGTAACATGATCACATCTGGTCTGCTCAATCAGTGCCCTTTTTTTGTGTTATTATAATCACAGACCCTCTGAGCCATCCAATGGGACAGTCATGCATTTACAGCCACCCAGCAGTGAAACATATGAATTATAGCTCTATCATGAACATGTTAAAACTAAATATGCTCTGGGTGGTGGCCTGCTGTTTAATGTCAGCATTAAGCATGTTGTATAAACACATAGTCTGTTCCTGCAATACCTGATTTGGACTTCATCCTCAGGAAAACTAGAAGAGTTTCCTAAAGGAATGGGCAAGAAAATCCATTGCATGCTCTTAGGAAACACCGAAAAATATTAAATTCAGTGTACATTTGGTGTATTGATTATGTCCACATGTATTTCCATGTGCTGTAACCATTCAGAAATGTTATGATAATTTTATTTATTTATTTATTTTTTTGTTATGATAATTTTAAAGGATTTTTGGTAGGGGGTAGGATTACAAGAGAACCCACACTTTGCTTTGTAGAACTTAACGTGAGGATTTCTTTGTTTTAACATATATGTTAGAATAACTGCAAAGAAATGCACTACAGCAAAAGTGAAAAAGCTATACTATCAAAATCAATTGAATTACCTAGAAAAATGTTTTTGTAGGATACTCAGTGAAAATTGAGCACAGTTTGGATAGTATTATATTTAATGTGAGAAAATAAGTTAGTTATGATACAGGAGAAGAAATATGAAAATATGATATTTCCCAGCCTGTTAGATGGCTGATATACTTTAAAAATCAAAGAATGAATTCTAGGAACAATGGAGATTAAGAGTGGAAAGATATTTATTGAGAGGATGGCTCCTGAGAGGCGGTGGGATCCCGAATGGGTAGCTGGGAACCCCACTTACAGGGAAGTTTTATACAGCAAAACCCGCGTGGGTACAACGTGAGTTCCAGCTATAAACAAGTACAGTCACTTAGGTAATGGTGATCCAGTTGGGATCAAGTCACGCAAGAAGCGTGCATGGAAAGAACAAAGACTTTGTCTAGGGTCCAGAGGTCTCTGGTCACCCACCGGGGTGACTGACGTCTATCTAGGCTTCATTAGGCCCGGTGTTTGTCCTCTGAGGAGGGATACAGGCCTGGTTGTCTCTTCTTTATCTTGAGGCCCTGTCTCCAACAGATGTCTTTCTGGCCACAGTTGTGGTGTGGTGCACCTTTGTGCTGACTCTCTTGGGGCCCAGTCCTACCTGACTGCCTGCAGTATTTCTATCTAACTTAGCTGTCTGTAATAGTTATGTTTAAAACTGTTGTTATTCTGTAGTTGTTTCCTGAAGAAAAAGGGAAACATTAAAAGAAAGAATCCAGGGCCGGAGATTTAGCTCAGTGGTTCCGGCGCCTGCCTCGAAAGCTCAAGGTCCCCTGTTCGATCCCCGGTACCAAAAAAAGAAAGAGTCCATTAAAGAAAAATATCAGAAGAAAAAAAAAAAGAAAAATATCAGTTTTTTAAAAAATCTTAGGAACATTAGAACAGTGTAATAATAATGTTTTCCTTTTCAAGTTGATAGTAATTTAAATATAATACAGATCCTTATAAAGTGAATTTTTTACTTATTGTTGGCCTCATTGTAAATTTTAGTTTGCCTCACCCTTGGTTACTTATTATTTTATAACTTTCTGGTACTCTTAATTCCTTTCAAAAACAAGCAGGGTAAAAACTGATGATTAATAGTCAGTGACTTAAAATAGTTAATAGTTATTGAACTCTGGTTCAGTTCATGCCATAAAAGCATTGCCGTAAAGAAAGAGGATCAGGGGAAGAACCTGGGCTGGAGCTGTGTGTAGTTACACACAATATAAATTATAGACTTACAGATTTCTATGTTTTTAATACATTAATCCAGGTGTTTATATTTTATAATAAATGTTACAGAAAATAATCACATTTAAAGTAGTTAAAATTAAATCTTACTGTATTTTTTTCTTTCAGAATTTAAATGAATATGTTGAAGCATTAATTACCTTGAAACAAAAAATTATCAATACCGAGTAAGTATAATTGCACGTTTGGCAGAATTTCGTAACCCTGATGAACCGGCTGAAGTGGGTCGTGGTTGAAAGCCCCTGGGCTGGCCTGATTCATGGAGCTGATTATGATGAACTCCCATGAGTCCTGTCAGCAAGCTGAACCTCACAGGCCTTCACAGTGGAATTCTGGGGTCAGCAGGACATTACTTTTGCTGCATTGGAATTTTCCTTAAAGCTGTTTTCTGTCTTAAGCATCTTTTTACCTTTACACTGGATGTCAGTTTTTCTTACAGTATTTTATAGCCCTAGTCTGAAATTTAATTATTTGTAATGGCCTTATGAATTTATAGGCCAAAATGCTACTTACATGAAAAAGATTTTAATCTAAAAGCTCATCTATCAGTACAGTGCTTTGAAGAATTTAAGTTGATATGTGTTTAGCATACATTTGTCGATGGGTATGTCGGAAAGAGGCTCCTTGTGTGATCTGAAATCAGTTTGAAAAACACCATGATTTTAACCTGGTGTATTTTCTACATTAAAAAATAACCTAATTCATTTCTTTATTTCAGCAATTTGTTGACAGAATATCAGAAGAAATGTGATGATATCCTTTTACTTTTGAATTCTCTTGCATTGTGGCGTTTACTTATGTGTAATGCCTGAAAGTGATGTGTGAAGTGTGAAGGAGACTTTCAAAGCTGTCCTTTGGAAGGGGGAAGGGGGTCTGGGCTCCTGGAGTGAGCGCCTCTCACAAGCCGGGTAGCAGTTCCCACTTTCAGTGGCAGTGGTGCTGGTGCTGAGTGTTTCTGTCCCTGCTCCTGATTTCTTAAGGTCTCGGCAGCTCTTTAATGGGAGGCTTTCTTCATGTGTACTGAGGATGTGGCTTCACAGGATGTGTCCTTTAGGCTTAGGGAGAGGCAGAACTGGAATGGCACATTCTCAGTGTTATTTTTGAACTGCATAAAATGCACTTTGAGAACATGGCAAATGTGAGGAAATGGAGTTCTTAATTATTCTTGTGATTTGTAGAGAATCAGCGTGTACTTCCAAAGTATTATAGAAATAGTGTAGTTGTATGTTCCTGTGCCAGACCTCGAAGAATCTGAGCAGAGTTCTCAGGCTTAGAGTTGAGCATTTCCTCAGAAAGCATTTAGCAAGCACCTGTAGAGGAGCTGGCTTTGGTTAAATGTTTTCTTAGCCATGAGACAAAGGTATGTGTAACTAATCCCTCTGTATCTTTTGGTGATAACAGTTGCTTTACTTTAAGTCTTTCTCATAAAAATGTAAGATTTCTCACACAAAACTAAATACACCTACCTAGAGAGGTTGGTGGAAGTTCAGCTTTATTTCCAGGGTCAGGATGGATTCTTCTGTCCCAGCAGTCAAATCCCAAGTACTTAGGCAGACGCCGGCCTGCACACCTGAACTTATGTGTGTGAGATCAGAGTAATAAAATCCAGACTTTAGTAATTAGTTTTATTTTTGGTATCTGACCTTTTACATTAAAAACTAGAAGTCATTGGAATTTTTCCATGTGATTTGTTGAGTATATCAGATCATTTAAATATAAGTGCCTGTCATTATTTTTAATTGATTATAAAAGCTGTATAGAAACAATTATTAAAAGTACTTTTAGGTAGCTAAATAGGAAAATAATTTCAGTATTAGGTGAGTATGTGTTCATTATATGCCTTTTGAGGAAAGGGTGTAAACTTTGTGAGGTTATTACATATTTAATCTAGCAAGAAAGTTAGTGGTTTACTCTTCTAAAATTTGCCAACAAAAATGTTGAAGTAAAAATTATCACAATCATTCTTTTAAACAGATAAAACTTTCAGTTGTTCTTGAATTCCAGAGTTTTGTTCTGTGATGTGATATTTGCCTCAGCCACAGATAAATACTGATTTTTTTAAAGTACATTTGGCATTTGCTACAAGTATATGTTGATTATACCTCAGAAATACAGTCATTTGCTCTACAGTTGAGGTGCCAGTGTCACAGGTCTAATATGTCTTTCTTATATAATTTGGTTCTTTTTGTTACTAAAGTAGCAAAGATTTTTGTGTTTTTCTTTCAAGATGAGAAAATTATTTCTTCAAGAACTGCACAATAATTCAGCATTATTTCAGCCCTTTTTAAATTCTGACCCGTTGTTTATTAATCTTTCTAAAGGGTAGGGGATATTATTTATCAGATATTTGAACTTGTGTGCTGTAAAGACTGCTCTCCTTTAGGAAGAATAAAATATACTTCTTGACATTAAGCTTACACTATAACAGCGAAGCTGCAGCCAGGTGTGTATAAACATGCAGGTACTGTATTGTGAGGTAAATAAATATAGCAGTTTCTAGGAGATGAAACGTAAAGGAATTATTCTTTGCTGTCTTCACGTATTTCACTGGCAGAGTGAGGTGGAACAGTGAGGTTATCAAATTGCATAAATAATAAAAATGAAGGTTTTTGTAGTTTTCTTTTTCTTCATTTCTTTTTTGTTACTTAAGTAGTTATGTACGGGTTCTGTAAGTACATAAATAACTCTTGTCTGCTGCAATTGTCCTCTGGAGATTTGAGAAATGGAGGACAGGTTGGTGGAGATTCTGATATATACAGAGATGAAGGTATTTTCTGTTAGTTACGTATTGCTTTGTCTTTATTCTTACAATTTTAGTCCGTCACATAATTATTCACAGAGCTTTTTGAATAGATATTTTGACTTTGTTTTATGTTACAGTACATAGGAATAACTCAGTAAAGTGATTTATCACTATGTTATAGATGGGTCCATGAATATTGTTTTTTAGGGTTTATGATCTTGCCTGTGTGTACATTGAACATAGAATCTTAAAGATAATTATAAAGTGGATTTTATCTCCAGACAAGTATCACAAGCTTGAATTTTCAGTGTTTTCCTTAATAAGTTTCACAGCTGCAGTTTGCAAGAAGGTGAGCCAGCGTACGTGTGTTTTAACAGTTGCCGAGATGATTTGTCGCAGTACTTGATTTGGAATGGATGCCATTACACAGATTTTCTAACAGATTCTAACAAAGAGGACCTAGACTGACTCTTATAAGAGAATGTTGCTTTGATGCTCAAGTAAAAGAAGATTAGCATTTTCCCAAGTATCGAATCAGTGAAATGAATTTATTACTGAGGCTTTTAAGTTAAGCCTGGTGTTTCACTTTTCAGTAACTTTTAGTGACTACATTGCCCTTGAGATGAAGTTTATTGCTCTCACATTACTGTTATCTACATGAATCTGACTTCTTGTGGTTGTTTATCCTGTGTCATTTTAAACAATTTAAAATGGACCTACTTAAAATTTAGCATGTTTCATGTTCTCATTGCATTCATCACTTACAAGAAGGGAAAGTGTGATTATAAACCAAATCCCAAAACTCCGTGCCACTTAGTTTGAATAAATAGGCCCAAGGTTGGATGCGCCAGCGGGCTTGGCACACAGTTCTTGGAAATCTTCTCCAGTGGACCGGAAGTCAGGCACACTGTTTCTCAAGTTGCTTTTTGATAATATTTTTGTCAAAAGCAGTCTGTTTCCAAGAAATTAAAAGCTGTACCAATGTTGTGTTAGTAATAAGTAGAAGGAATGTGTTTGAAAAGAGATTTTATAGATTTTTTGTTCCAAGTTAGAAATCTCAGATCGTGAGACTATATGTGTAGTAATTTACTGTGGATACTTTTGTCCATTTTTAGAGAGAACAGTACTCTGCATCACCAAGTGGAACAGATGCTTCAAAAAATTTCTCCTCTGCAGAAATGTCAGGAAGAATTGGGATCTTTAAAAGCAGAGCTAGAAGAGAAAAAGGTAACTAAAGTTATTTTCCTACAACAGTTCATTGTGAACAAGTTCGGATTGGCTCACCCACTATCACTAGGATGGGGGACTTTTCATGTCTTAAAGAACATAAACACTAGTCAGGACCCTCACTGGTCTTAGAGAACACTGGACTGATGGATGAGATATTTTACAGTGACGATTCGCTCTGCATTACCATGTCAACCGTCATCTTACGCTTTTTGAGAGGGTCAGTAGTGAATTTTTATGGTTTTATATGTCCTGCGTTAATTCTTTGTCACCTTTCCCTTGCCTTACGTGTGAGAAATCCAGCTTAGAGGTAGGAGAATCTGAGTATGGCACCGAGGGCAGCAGAGAATTTGGTTTCCGCGGGGTGCTGGCCCCAGCCTTGTGGTGAGTGATCCCTGGGGCCTCTGCTCTGGTGTGGTTCCCGTGTCCTTTACAGAGCCTGTGCTCTCTTCATGAGCTGCTTAGTGTTTTGTTCAGTAATAGTCCACGTACGGCCCTGCCGGCTTGGTTGAATCATTCTCGGAAATCTTACTCTTTTCTTGTAGTCACGTTTGGTCCTTGTGATTTCTTACTGTCAGTGAGAGGTGGACACAGTGAGTTTCTCAGGCCTATAGTGCAGGCTCTTGCAGCTGAGTGCTTGGTTAGAGGCTGCTTCCTGTCCTTGGGATGAAGTGCTTGCTTTTTTGAGTGAGATACTTTTTACGCCTAAGTAGAGTCTTGGGAAAGACACCACCTAAAATTCTGATGCAGTTATCCTTTAATTGGGGCTATTTCCCCTTTCAAAATCAAGTTGCTAGAAAATAGTTTAAAATGCTATAAGTTTGCTTTTCAATGTAAACTTCATTTTACTCTTTACAGTAATTTTTTTTTGTTTTTTTGGTACTGGGGATCAAACTCAGGTCTTTATAATAATCTTAAAAGAGAGTTCCTGACTTACAAATGAAAACATATGTGAACTGTGTAAAATTAGATGCTTGGTGGAAGGCGGGTTGTAGCTGCCCTGGAGTGATTCTCGCTTCCCAGCCTGACCTCTAACTCGCTTATGAGGTATTTGTGTCTCCTGGCCGTCCTTATATTGTGCTGTTTCACTAGAGTTATGTAGCTGTCTGAGGACTTACTCATATGATCAGAACATATTTGTGTTTCTATTTTTATAGACATTGTTTAATATAATGTGTATGTGGTAAAAGTTAAACAGAAATCATCCCAATATTCAATTACGTCTACCCCTGACTATATATAATCTCTTCAGCCACATCTGAGAAGAAGCATGAACCTTGGAGTCAGACCTTGGTGAAAAACTCTAACTCAGTGGTGGCAAACCTATGGCACACCTGTCACCATGCACTATTGTGTCATTGAGAGCCCTGAAAGGTTCGCCGACACTACCCTCACTAGTCACTCAGTCATTGACATTGGAAGAATAAGTCAGCCTGTCAGAACCTCGGTCTTTTGTTTTTGTTAAAAGGGGTTGATGAAGCCTGTTTCAGAAGCAGTCATATAATATCACCCTTAACATGGCCTCCATAAGTATGTTTTTCCCAGTCCATTGGCCGTCAGGGCATATATGCTTGTATGCACATATTTTCTCTATTGAATATTAAGTTTAATGATTTGGTTTTCCACAGTAGTACCTATAACTAATACTTACTAAAATCTGTAAATGTCTTCAGATTATATTAAATCTTAGTTGGTTGAGACAAAATAATTAGCTATTTGATATTTAAACCAATTATTTGAAGATTTGTAATTGTCTTAAAATTAGTACTTTAAATTTTGTAGCTTTTGTTTGAATTATTCTAATTAAGAATCTGGTTATACTCATTAAAATGTTCAGTGAATAGTATTCTGGTTTCCTCACAATATGTGTATTCATTTGGTTAATTTCATGTGTTAAAGTTTGACAATTTAGCTTACTGAGATCAAAACAAGTTACAGCCAATGGCCATTGAATTTCATTTGGGCAGCATTTATGTTTCTTTTTTAGAGTTCTCTGAAGTTATATCAGGATACTCACCAGGAATATGCTCGTGTAAAGGAAGAATGCCTGAAAAGTGATGCACAGTAAGTAGCTTTAAAATTACCATAGACTTAGGGTATTCATCTTTGAGACTAGATAGTCCATAAGTCAGTAGTGTTTTCTTTGCTCTGGACTTGTTTGTAATTAACTGTGTGATCCTGAATTAGTCTGTCAGTCTTGATTTCCACCTCTATAAAATGGGAATTATACCTGCTCTGGAGGACTATACGGATTAAAAAATTATCATAAGTTAAAGGACTTCACAAAGATGTCCATAAGTTTTGATGTCTGTATATGTGTGTGCATGCATACACGTGTGTCTGTGTAGAAACGTTTAACTGTGGATTGCTTTTTTGTGCTAACACTTTAACAGATCCCGGATGGGTGGGTGTCTTTGTTACTATTAATTAAAAGAGGTATTAAAGATAATCTGTTGGTTATTTTGAGGTTTGATACCATGTTCATGTTACTTAGCAAGCAAATATACTCAAATTGTGAGCATTACACATGCAGTAGTTGCATGTAGGTGTGAGGCAGGAGGCTGTTTCTCAGGGAATTACTGATGGGCCTTCATAGACTCAGAAATACATTTTAAAGGAATGGCCTTTCTCAAACGCTGTGCATAAGGTGGTGCTGTGCACACTCACCCCACACGTGCACACCCTCAAACAGTAACACTACTGATTAAATGCTGGGCTGACCCTCGGAGTCCATCTGGACGTGCCAAGGCTTGTAGTAGGCTAATAGGTGATGTCACTGCCCTTCACAGCTGGACCCAGGTGTGCTTGTGGCAGGGCCTGCATTGGTCCAAAGCTTGTTTCTCCTATGGAAAAGACAGATTTCTGTAAATCCATTTCAGAAATACAGCACGTTAAATGGCAGTGTTCTTGCTTAGGTTTATTTGACCATCAGAACAATGGCTGGTAATTTCAGTCGTTGACATGTGATACTAGTTGTGACTGAAAGTTTCTGGTATACAAATCTCAGGAATTACACATCATGAACCGTCATGTATTTTTTTATGTTACATTATGCTTTGCTGTTTAACTTATATAATTCTGTTATTAGAAAGAAGAAACTGGAAGCTAAAGTGAAGAAGCTGGAAGGTGGGTTGCGCCATTGTTACTTGGCTCATGGGAGCCACTGGTCACTGTCCGAGCCCGTGTACCTGTGTGAGGTTGTAGAACTGGGACACATTGTGAAGTGGTTGTGGAGGTGCATTGTACTTCCCTGGAGGACGTCACAGTGTCTGTGAGGCAGGGCCCTGCCTGTTTCATTCCGCCAGTAATCCGACTAGGACGTGGAGGTGGAGTGTGGCAGTCCGCGAAATAGCACTGCACTCAATAGCAGCAGTTAATGAAATGATTCAGTTGTAAAAATTGAACCTTGTGGAGCTTTCCCACTTTGCCCCAGTGAAACAAGAGATTACCAGAAAGGGTCGCTACTTTTCGTGTCAAGAAATGGAAGCATTTAGAGAGACATGACGCAGCCACAGAGAGGTTCTGATGGACTCCCCGACGCTGGGGACTATCCAGTTTATCCTGGACTTCCCCACACCCCACTGTCTTGCTAGGGGCTTCTAGTCCACGTGAGGGGCCAGTGTATGGAAGAGCCACACAGCAATCTGCCGGGTCCTCTCATTCCAGCCCATAGACAGTCCTTTCAGGGTCTGCAATGGGGCGCAAGACCTTTTGGTGTCCCATCGTCCTCCCGCTCTGCCATTTCTTAGTAGAAACAAACGGGCTCTGCCTTCCCCATCCCTGCACATGCTTTTCTCTTATCCCGTGTGGGCTCAGCTGTCCCATCTGAGCATCATGTGGATAGTATCTACTGCAGAGATAGTGTGTTTTGATGTAGGGTGTGGAGTACGTTTAAATTTAGTTGCCTTAGGCCATATAGAGTAGTAGTGGCTGAAGGTATTGTATTTCCTGTCACTAACTTATCTAAATTGAACCAAACTTATTTAGACTTCAATTTGTAAATGTCTTCAGGGACATTGTCCTCTGGTTTTATTTTCGCAGGGCTGTTGATGGCGGGCAGTCATACAGCCTACTGTGTGCTTTCTAAGCCCTGCCTTCTCTTGCTAGTATGTGGAGATGGCATCCAACAGCTGTTCTAGAGACCGAGACCGAGTGAAATGGCTGTGAAACTAAACAAGAATGGACTTTCTGTGCAACAATGCAGCCTGTTTTTTCTTGTAAAAGTATATATTTCCTTCATAAATGACTCAGCATAATAAAGATTATTGAGGAAAGAAATACTAAAACTTGTCAAATAAGTCAGGAGGGGATTGCTACTATAGTGTCTTGCAATTTTGCTTTTCTTAGCAGTTGTGTATGAGCATATCCATGTAGAGTCAGAACTGGTCAGATTCTAAATAGCGTGTAGACTAGTTGGCGTTTCAGAACCAAACACTGGAATGAACTATACAAGTACCTAAAGAGTCAATCTCTAATACAGCTATTTGAAATTAGAAGTAATTAACTTGTTACAGGGAATTCTGAGAAAGATAACAATATCTGCAGTAAACATCAAGAAAGTTGTCTCCCCACTAGGAGACAAAGAGGAAGGTGTTGATAAATTCTGAGGTGAAATCACAGTCCTGAAGTCCCAAGGTTACTGTGCTCATTGGAATGGGAAAAGCGGGGTGCCCAGCTGCCTTGGCACCCGCCTTGGGTTCTCACCCGGCTGGGTGGAGGGATTGGGGTTGTCGTGCCTGTTTGCAAGGGACCCTTAAGGCCTGTAGCAATTGTGTAGTTTCACAGCTAGCTAAAGCAAAGCATGCCTGTGTTTAGCCCTGTCTCATACAGTAGTGAAGGAGCAGTAGCCAGCTGTTGGTGAGGTTTGTTCCAGAGTTTTAAGAAATGAGAAAAACTTGTAATAGGTTAAATTGTGGGTAGTTCATTAACCATCTCAGTAAAGTTAGTTATTTTTCTCTCTGTTGCTTCATTGCACTTTGAAATGCAGAGGCTGCTGTCAAGCAAACTCAGGACTTCAAGCAACTGAGAAATGAAAAGAAAATACTTGAAAAGGAATTTAAGAAGACACAGGTACTAGATAAACACTGCACACACACTTGGCCTCCTGGCTTCGGGGCAGGGTGTTTTGTCCTGTGACTGCAGCGAGAGTCAGGCACAGGGACCCTCGGTGACCACCATCAGTCACTGTGGCCCCGAGGCTGCGTGGGGCCCAGGGTCTGACCTCGCCCAGCATAAACACCACTGCTGCTCTGTTTCCACAGGAAAGGCTTGATGAGTTTTCCAAACAGAAAAGTGAAAAGGGTGAGTATTCGGTTAGTGCTTGTTTTAAATTCTGTTTTGAAAATCAATGTTTTTAAACTGTTTTTCCCATACATTTTTAGAATTGAGACATATTGGAACACAAATTTCAAGTGATTCATATGGAAGCATAGACAAAAGTGAGTATGCGGCAACTTTTGTTTTAGTTCTGTGTATCACTTTTAGTTGTTGGGGAGGCTGCATGTTGCTCTTACACATGATGATTAAAATTCCAGAAAGTGGAAGATGTTTCATGTTAGAAGAAGTCATATATTATTTTGGTTGGTCATTAGATCCATACATTGTATGGATCCAATCAGTATATCTTAAAATAATACACTGAATGAAGGACTCAAAAAATACTGTTTAGCAAAGAAAATTAGGTGGAGATATAACTTCCATACTTTTCAATAAATATAGATTTTCTTGTTAGGTTACAAATTGTCAGAAAAATTCGTGAAGTTTCCCATGTGCCAAATACAAAATTAGTCAGAACTGTAAAATCAAAACTGTATCTTTTGGACAGAAGAGTTTAGGGAAGACTCAAAGTTTGAAAGAAAAGTAAAATAGTAGTAGTTATGGGGGAAAAAAGAAGTGCAAATATGTATCTGTACCTTTTCTCACCAAGTGCCTCATCTTAATGAGAAGGCAGGCTGACCCTTGAAGGTGGGAAAACTGGAAGTTTTCACCTTAACTCTTCTATTTCACCCTTGGCCATTTACTTATTTTTTCCCCCTCTATTTTAAAAGTAAGATTATAAATTTGAATTTCTGTTCTAACCCACAAGTTTTTTGTGAGAATAACTAAAAATACTTAAGAAACAGTGTTTTCACCTCAGTAAAGCATTGCTCTTTTTCCAAGTTAAAATTATTAAAACCCTGAATTTTTGTGTCCATTTGTATAATATCTCCTGAGAAATCGCCTTTCCCCCTTTTTTCTCTTCTTATTCATTTATTATGTTTTAATTCAGAGAACAAGTTCATGTTTTACTTGCCTGTCATTAACAGTTCACAACTCTCAGCTGCCTGGGCACTAACTGTCACTAACTGCCGTCCCTAACGTGCAGTTCCCGTGCTTTTGGCTGGGTTCTCACTGCAGTACTCAGTGTGTGCAAAGTGAGTGAGCAGCAGGTGTTGCTGAGAGCCGCAGACTTGACAGCAGTTCGTTTTCCCTGCCTGTAGTCAGCTATGGAAGGGACTCATCTGACTTCTGGACTAGTAGATTTGTCTTAGACCTGAATGTTCAAAACAGGGCCTTTCTCCCCTCCCCTCCTTGCGTTGTTCTCCATCCTTACATTCTTATTTATCCAAATAACTTGTTACTATCTCAAGTAAAATTATTGTATTTTTGTTTTATCCTAGTGATATCCTAGTGACCGAACTGCTTTCTGTTGTACATTTCGCTTTTTCTAAGTAAATAAGTAACCGAAATCAGCGGTGGACCTTGATGGGTTTAATTCCTAGTTCTTAACTGTACCATTAATGTTTGCCTTCTGGAACAGATTTGCAAGTTTGGCACTAAAGAGTATTGAGGTGACTTCACTTTCGAAAAGGCTGCCTGAGTGCCACTTTGTCTTTCCTTCCTTTCAAATTCCAATAAAAACATCCCAAATTATAAAAAGAAAAAATAGCTCCCCTGTATAAAAATCTCACCATCAGTAGAGAAATTTAATGAAGAAGATGGAAAGCAGAAGGTAACTGTTGAGGAGAAAATCTCAGGTTTCACCCTAGAAACCTGGAATTTTTCCACATCAGCAGGGAAGGGAGTGGGCGAAGGGGCAGGACATCAGGTCCAGCCAGGTAATGGATGGAAGGGCGAAGTGCGCAGCCGTCAGGTTTCAGGAACTGTTTCTGGCTTTTGCCCACAGACTACGACCCAAGCGTGGTGTTCTAAAGTGTTAGCCATGACATGAGAGGCATCCAGAGGGCCTGTGGGTGTCAGATTGGGTAATCATGGCCACTTTGAGGGACAGCCACTCCTGTTCCAGAAACTAAGGTATTTTCATCCTCCTTCTACATTCTCACAGTTGCACTCACTCACTGCAGAACAGGAACGTTCTATAGGTTTACAAAACAATCTGCATTTATTGTCAAAGGAATAGGACTAAAAATATAGGCCGAAAGAAGAATTTGGCTTAAAGGCTTAAACTCAGCTAAGAGAAACAAAAGGCAGTGACAAGAAAGAAACCACACACATGATGACTAGACAAAACAGCATTAAATCATGGATGAGACGAAAATGTTAAAAACTGAATTACGCTTTTTAGAGAAAGTCTAAGAACCTGCCCAGTGGCTGCTGCAGTGGATTGAGCCGGTTGGGGGTGTTGAATATTGAAACTGCAATTACATAAATAAGCTCATTGGATAAGCTAAATGTTGAACGGACCAAGAGATTAAATCCTGAGAAGTAGTAAAAGAAACAAAAGGTGTTAGAGAAGATACAAGCATCTGAAGGGGTCGGATCTCTCTGTATTCATCTCTTAGACCTTCTCAGAGGGCAGGATCAAGATAACAGGAAGGAATTTCCCTGGGCAGAAACTATAGATAAACAATATTATCCCATCTCAAGGGCCTCCCAGGCGCTGTTTGACTGTTGTCCATCACCTTCATCTCTGACATGTTGATAGGAAACATACTGTAAACCACGCGAAGTAGGGATTTTGAACACAGTGATGAGTAAAGTTGCTCTCAGGAATGCTAACATGAAAGCAGTAATGGAAGGCAAAAAATAACTTTAAGCTTAGAAACAAGTGCATATGGATTAAGAGAACATCTAGGCTGATTAAAAGTGCAGTTCACAGAGAAGATACTGTTACGGTGGACCCAAGAATGTGAAACTGTATCAAGCAAACAAAAATCTTGCAGATTCTAGCAGGGTAGTGAGATCTTTCTTCATTGTGAGAGACTTTGATATATTTTTCAGAAATAGCCAGTGAAAGTGGACAATAGATGGAATCAGAAACTCAGTTGCAAGGTTGATGATTTATTTATATATGACTCCATAAGCCACATACCTTTAAAATAGCTTCTCAGAAACTTAGGGAAGTTGGATAATATACAACCAAATGTCTGTAATTTAATATAGTAATAAAAAGTCCCACCTCCACTTCCATACGTGAATGCTATGGGAAGCAGAGCAGTGATGTGGGACATTGGTGGCTGGCTCTGCAGTGCTGGTGAGACCAACAGCCCTGGCAAGCGTGACTGAGGGAGGAAAACGCAGTAGCGTCAGGACTGAACGCAGCAAGGCTACAGTGGAGTTTTAAATTCCCAATTTCATACAGAAATGGGAAAAGCAGGCAAAATGGCCATTTTCTAGGAAAACATGCTGAAATTGACTCAATATTTGCTGCAAACTTGAACAGGAAATAGGCCTGCAGAAGTTTTAGAAATGATTCTGACACCATCATCAATCCAGGTTGTTTATGGTTGAGCTCTAAAGGCTTCAGTGAGAGCCGGATGTGGGGGTGCACACTTGTGAGCCCAGCATTAGGGAGGCTGAAGCAGAAGGATCGCCGTGAGCTCAAGACCAGCCTGTAGTACTTACTGAGTTCAAGCCAGCTTGAACTACATAGTGAGAGCCTGCCTCAAAAGAACAATCGAAAAAGACTTCTGTGAAAATCTAGTGTCTTTATTTTTAACTCACTGTTTTAGAACTTAAGAAAATATGGAGTGTTTCATCCCTTTCTCTTAGGCGAGCATTACCTTGTAGTAACATATGAGCTGCATGGACACATACTCTGAAGACTCTTAGAACTCTTTGCTACTTGATTACAGAACAACAAAAATACGAAATAAAAATTTAGGGGATCCAGTCCTCATTGTTTATAATACGAATTATGACTTCCAAGAATTTACTCAGGAATATCACCACTGCTTCAAAAACACCATGTTCACCTCAGTTCAGCACTTCTGATTTAAAAAAGTAGTAATTTGGTGAGCTAATAGGAGAGAGAGTTTGAGCTTGAGAAAAGGAAAGCATTAGAAGCATAGTCTTACTATCAGAAAGAAGGCCTGGGTCATCCTCTGTTAGATGCTGAAGACCCTGACCAGTGCAGCGGGTGACCAGACGTAGGCGCTGTCGAGGTTGAGAAGCAGAGTCAGAGCGGTTCACGATGGACTGTGGAGAAGGCCAGGAAGTCACCAGAAGGGAAGTGGTGGATACCTGCACATCCCCGGTGTACCTGCATTACCCTGTCAGAAGAGGGGTGGAAGAGAACGCTGTGCTGTCAGTGGCTTGAGCTGTCAGATGTTAGGGGGAGCCCCAAAGCAGAGTGCGGTGTACAAGGAAGCAGAAGCGGAAACATCCCCGCAGTGGCTTACAGACCTGTGCACGAATGAGCCACATTCCTGGAGGGGAAAACTTTCAGCGTGCAGTGCGACTCTTCCCACATGTGTTCATGACTGTGTGTCATAGTCTCGCCATAAATCCTAGTAAGCTTTTCTGTGGAAAAGAACGAATAGGCGGTGAAAGTTGATGAAGAGAAATAAATGTTTGGGGTAATAAAATTTTTAAAGAAGGAGGAACTGAGCAAAAATCAAACCCTAATAGCGTAACTATCAGTATTAGCATTAAAGAAGTATGTTATTTATGCAGAAACTGACAAACCCATGGAGTAGAAAAGTCCAGAAATACTCTTAAGTGCCTTACGTTTTGATAGTGGAAACATTTTAAAAGATTAAAGAGAGATGTGTTCACTTTAATGAAGTTTTGTCTTTACAACTAAGTAATGAAGCCACACTCGTTTTTTTCTGCTTTATTGGGGATGGATCGCTTTTTTGGGGGGGTCAGATCAGAAGTAACGAGTGCTCCGTTAGAATAGACATAGCTCTGGTTGTTAGGCTCCATTCAAAATGGAAAAGTAACTTCTTTTCTTTTTTTTTAAGGTTCCTTGTTTGCTGCTTTGGGTATACGTAATAAGCAGGGATCCCGGTCAGGTCATTTAAGCAAAGGGGATTACAGTATTTGGAAGCAGGCTTTTGGGTAGGTTAAATCACACTGTAGCTAAGCTACCGGATCACAACCTTTTGGAAACAAAAGTGGACGCTCCTCACACACGATGATGAGGTCACCTTGGCTCAGGAGAGGCCCCAGTGGCCGGCTGTTCAGAATTGTTCACAACCGTGTCCTCCGCGTCCGTTTTGGCCCCTTCCCGTGGACTTCATTTTTGGAGTGACACAGTTTGCTGTCTTAAGGAGAACTACCTTGTTTTAAATCTGTGATTGAGTTTCTGGAAATACTTTGGTTTAAAATATTGGTCCTTTCGTCTTCTCTTGAACTGGATTAAATATCAATTTTAATAAATGCTTAAGGTTCAAGAAAACTATAATAGGAATTTCAGGTGGCTTGAAATTGCCCAATATTGAAAGCTACTTTTAGTTGAATTTTAATTAGTGTGGGTTATTTTTTGTGTACATTTCATCACAAGCTATACATATTTATATTTTCATGTTTTTGCTTTGGAAGGTACTTTTGGAATTTGTATACTTACTGAATTAAAACAGCTTTAAAACCCTAGTATTATAATATTCTCTTGAATTTCACTAGGACATTCTTGGTTACAGCTTCCCTTGGCCTTTCAGCTTGATAGTAGTAGTTAACTATTTTAGGAATCTAGACCCCTTTGAAAATTATGGAAATCGTAGCAGTTTCACTGTCCTTAGGAAAGCATGTGCTTCTCTGGCTGCGCATTTGTGTGTTCTGTCCCTGTCTATGCTCATTCCTACACATTTTGTCTCTACCCTGTCTCCCCCCGGTTAGTTACAGCATGGTCAGCTGGTAACTTTCTGATAGTCTCATCGAACTGAGGGATACTGCTCTGCTGTTCTGATAAAACACACACAGCCCCTGTCCTTTGTGTTGTAACTGTGTCTTCTGTCCTCACCTCGGCACTCTGGGGAGAATGTATGGGTTGAAGTCATTTGTTCCCTACGTAGCTAAAGTGACAAAAGCCCTTAACAAGTAGATTGGTTCTTTTGGGGATTCCCCTCATTTCCCTGCACCAAAAATTTTAAAAGCTGTATTGAGTCTTGAATTTTAGCCAATGCGTTGGACACCTTTCCACTAGTAACTGAGTTGTGCACTTGGTTGAGTGGAGGAGGATGTTTCCCTACCTAGTTCTCTAAGTCCCTGATTAATCCTGATTTCACAGGGGTGTGTGGGGGCATTGCACAGGTTGGGCCAAGTCACGTGACCCAGTGCTGCATTCTTTCTCACAGGGAAAGTGAAGCTGCTGCTGAAGGAACTCTGGCTATGTGTGAACTCAGCTCACAGACTGCCTGGCGAAGGCAGCAGATGCGTCCCAGGTGAGGGAGCCGCATACTGAAGAGCATTTCATACGTGAAAGTAGACATGTTTATTGCAGGTATCGCAGCCTGTACCTTCTCCTGTCTCCTGAGCCTAAAGAAATGAACTGTGTGTGCTTCTGATTGTTCAGAAGCACTTCCCTTCATTGTGACTTTTCATCTCAGCAAACGCATGTAGTTCTTACTATTCCAATAGTAGCTTTTATCGGTACATTCAAGAAACCAGAAGGACAGATGACTGAGATATATCTAGCAAGTATATGTGGAAGACTGCAGGCTGTACTTTTAAAAAAATCATTTGTTGAGTTTGATTATCTGTGAGAAGTTTGACTCATTTTTCATATAATTTACCAGTTCCTTTGGTCAGACATCTTCATTTGCTGTAAGATGTTACGGAGACATTGGACCACGTTGGCCTTTGTAGAGCATTCAGGACTTTAGACTTGGAAATAGATATTAGCCACTTCTTCTGAAGGAAGGAGAGTGACTTCCACAAGACTGAAGTGCTTCTGAGTTGACCTTTTGTTACTTTACTAATTTCTTGAGATGTCTGTTACGGACTGATATGATGGCACATGCCTGTAACCCCTGCACCCTGGAAGGTGGAGGCAGGTGGATTGCAAGTTTGAACCCAGCCTGGGCAACCAGTAACTCAGCATTACCCTGTCTTGAAAATGAAAAATGAAAAAAAAGGCAGGCAGGGGTTATGTAGCTCAGTGTGAAGGCCCTAGGTTTAGTCCCTAGTACCTCAGTATGTAAATAAACAAGCAGGCCGGCTGCTGCAGCTGTGACTTCAGCAGTCACTGAGGATCTAAGTCTGTAGGAACACGCGGTGTACCTAATTACCCAATTTGCTCCCAGGCTTTGGAAGACAGGGTTCCCTGAATGGCAAGTTGCTGATTCCTACTGAGGCTGCATTCGGACTTGCGAAGAGACATTGATGGGGTTCTTTTAAATAGATTTCTCTCTCAGTTCTCTTGGTGGACAGTAGCATTCATAGGAGCGAGGTGGTACCTGCAGCTGCTGACTGAGTCTGCAGTGCAGGTTGTTTGTTCCGTGTCTGGGGTTGTGCACAAACAGCCTAGGTTTTTTCTGTCCTCTGTGCCAGTCAGTAGTTGTATCTGAAGCACTTTTATGATAGTAGATATTAGAAAGGCCCACCTTTACTTAATAACCCTGGTGCTTTTATTTAAAACAAGCTTTAGTGCTAAGTCTGTTGTTTATGTTGTCTTCCACAAGGTAGAATGGAGAACATGGCATCTTTGGAATCGTACAGTACTCTCAAATACAATCCTTTTTTTTTTTTTAAACTTTTCATGAGAGAATGTTACAGAAATAGAGCAGAGAATTCACTTACCCAGATTTCCCTAATTTTAATATTTTCCATTACCGATGATCAAAACTAGAACATTTGGTACTGTCCTGTTAAATAAAGGTAGACCTCATGAATTTCACAAGCTTCCCACTGACTTCCTCTTTCCCTTCCTGGATCTGGTCCAGAAACCTGTGTTGCTTTTCGGGGTCATCTTTTCATCTCCAGCCTGACAGATCCTCGCCTCGCCCTCACCTCTCACATCTTTGATACTTTGGGGGAGTCTGGTTTGTAGAAAGCCTATCGCTGTGGCTTGTGGCACGTTTGCTCATGTTGGCCTGAGCCTGGGTTTCCTCTGTTCAGAGCACCGGAGGGCAGGTGGTTGGGGTGCGTGTTACTGCTCTGTCACCCACTGAGCTTAGCAGCCGGAGATGGGTCTTGGCTGCTGTAGTTACTGCTTTGGTATTTGCTCAGTTATGATTTTGTATTTCTCTCACTCCTGAAAATTTATTAATTAGAATTCTTCTGTGAGGACAAGCTGTGCCTTCTCCACTATTTGCCCTTTCATTTACTGGCGTATATCCATCCGTGTACTTGGATCATTGCTTTATTCTCTGCACCAGCATTCATCACTGCCCTTAGTTGTGGCTGAATTGTTCCAGTTTGGGTCACGGGGCTGCCTCAGAGTGGCTCCCGCACCCTTCAGACTCACTTCACCCGGTTCTGAATCCTTGGCTTTCTGGCATTGAAGATGTTTCCGTCTCAACTTGTATCTTTCCTCCCCAGCCCTAAGCTCTGCTTCTCCCAGGAGCTGTGGATCCTCTGTAAAACACTTTCACAGCTTCCAAATGCAATGTAGTGATTTGGAGGGATTTCATGAGGCCCACATGTTTTGCTAATAATAAGTGCCAGCTGAAGCTCATCAAGACCAAGACCCTGGAAAGGCTAGTTCCTTAGTTTCTGTGTTGCTCCATCCGGAGTGCTCACTGAACAGTCAGACTTCTCTCTTGCAGCATCATTACGGAAGTGGCCATGGGTGTTGAGCTCAGATCGGTTTCAGAGAAAATAGTGTCCCTCCCAGTCGTACGCTCAGAGTTGCTTCTGCCCGATCTGCTGGTTAACGGGAGGTGTCAGCCTCCTGCCTGCTCCCAGATGTGTGTCCGGCTGATGGATGGCTTAGCGCATCTCCCGCCCTTCATCCGCTCTCACTTTTCATGGGAAATAATGTCTTCTAAGAAGTATTTCTACTTACTTGCACTTGTTTTCATCATTTGGAACTGTTAGTATAAGGGTACTTCTTTAAAGTTTTCTTGGTATTCTAAGTATTCCATCCCCCCCTTTCCCCGCAGAAGAACCTGCCAAAGAAGACCCCAGACCCAGAGCATCTGGGGAAGATGACTCATTCCCTTCAGCCCAAGGCAGTCCTCCCAGGGCCTCAGGTGTACAGACGTGCCTCACGAAGCTGTCGGTGGAGATGCAGGCTGACTTTGCTGCCTGGAGGAGTGTCGACACAGAGCAGCTCGGTGGAGCAAAGCACTGCACCAGCAGAGTTGTTTGTGACGAGGACAGGAGTCCTGAGGGCTTACTGCAGAGTCCCAATGACTGGGACAGGACTGACTTTGCCAGCCCCGGTCATTTTTTAGACAGAGATCTTCAGGCCGCAATGGACTTCTTCAAACTCCCCCCTCCTCTTCTGTCTCCAGTGCCCTCCCCTCCTCGTACGTCTTCCCCATACCTGGACTCCTCACCTTCTGTGCTCGACCCTGTGAGTTTGCTCTCAGACCTGAATTTCACGTGGGTGTGTTGTGCTGGTGTGTCTGATACTCAGAGGATGTTAGTGGTCTTGGGCAAAGCTCTTCATTCTAGCCAATTTCATCGGGGGTAACGTGAGATGTGAGAGAGATATACCCGTGCCCTTTGGATCATCAGAGAAGGATGAGCTTTTCCCTTTGTATTAGGGTTGCATTTTATTTGTCTTTATCCCAACCAGATCCCAAGTTTCCTGTAGGAAGATCACTAGAGCCCGACATGTAATAGATACAGAAGGAGTGAAACATGTACTTGCAGGCATGGAGTTACCAGAGATAGGAAATCCCCAGTGTAGTGTTCATGGCTGTTGGCACAGTGTGGCCAGGTTCCCCACTTTCACTTGATGGATTCTTGGTTTCGTGCATTTACAGAATGTTCTTGGTGGTTTCTAAGGAAGTCGGCATTAACGAAGCGGACTTGCATATCCTTCGTCTTAAGGAGCAGCTAGATGTACTGTTCCCTCCAGTGCGTGCGTGTGTGCGCGCGTGTGTGATATTCCAGACACTGGGCTAGGCACGGGGTGTGCAGAGGTGCATTTGTGGGCTGCCTTGTGGAGCAGGGACCAGGAAGGGCCCCTGGCTGCCCGGCTGGGCTGGAGCCTGCAGCGTGGAGCCTGCAGCACTGTGCTCCAGGGGCAGAAGCCCAGTCCTGTGCAGAGCCCAGGTTGGCGAGGGAGTTTTGAGAGGAGAAGCTGGGCACAGCGGCATGAGACACAGGGTGGATGTGGCTTTGGGGACATTTATGCGGACCATCAGGGAGGTCGTAGTTGATGGGAAATCCTTGATGAATCCCAATTGGAGTCTGAGTGCTTCACGTCAGTCATGGTGCAGATGAGCAGGCCACAGGGGAGAGTTGGAAACAGGCAGGACCATAGTCAGGCCAGGGCGTCAGCCTCAGCTTGCCTGATTCCTGACGTCTGGACTTGGGGTGAGGCCGGAAGGTTAGCGGAGTGGGCCTGGCTTGAGAACAGTTACCAGGTCACAGGAGCAGCACGTGAGATACCAGTAGGACAGACACACTGCAGACACGGGCACGGCGCTAGTGGGGCACAGGCCCTCAGGATGTGGTGGGTCTTGCCACATGGCTCCTTGATGGGAGGTGGTATGGGCGTATAGGATGGCAGGGATGGGGTGGGCCCACTGAGGCCCCTGGGGACTGGCGGAAGGGCGCTGTGTGCCAGATGGGCGAGGACAGTGAAGGTGGCGCTGGGGTGCAGAGGAAAGCCAGGTGACAGCGGCCGTCGGAATTCAGGAGAGGAGCAGTCCCGGGTCCCCTTCCTCTACGGGGGTGAAGCCGCGGGATAGCCTGGGGAAGTGACGGGCTGTGGAGGACAGGGTGCAGGGAGAGAGCTGTGCGAGGCACCCCCGCTGTGCTGTGAGGACGCCCCAGAGCCTCCCGGGGGGGAGTGTGATGCCGGGAGCGCGAGGGGAGCGGAGGGCTGTGGCTCCAGGCCCTGGGTACTGGGAGACCGGCAGGTGAGACTGGAAGCAGGGAAGCCTGGAGACGTAGAGGACAGACAGCCCTGGTCCTGTGCAGAGGGGCTTGGTTGTCAGAAGAGAGCGGTGCTTCTTTAAGAAGAGGGTAGCGCAGCATCATGCCAGGGCTGGGCATCACCCAGTCATCCTGGAACCTGGGCTCCTTTGCTTAGGCGGGATTGCAGCAGCTCTTTAAGAAGCATGCCCTTTTCTCCAGGGGTTTTAATTGATGCACTTCATCTTCCTTTCAGGAAGCCTACTTTGGAAGGTATACAGATTCCAGCGACAATGACTCTGCTCGGCCTCGAAATTCTGCTGACTCTGTTTCTGAAGATGATGTACCTGAATCGCAAGATTATTTTGGTTTATCCAGAAAAAATGAAGCAAGTGGTGCATGGAAGGAAAATCCCAGGTCGCAAGAAGCTGTCCAAGCTCTAAACAAGTTGGCAGCGAATACAGTGGCAGCTGGTGGACTTGTGACGTTCACAGCAGCATCAAGAGAGCCATCAGCCACACCCCCTGTAGCTCAGGAGAAGCCCTGGACGGTGGCGTCTGGACTCCAGATTGATAGGCAAAGAGATGTTTTAGGTGAGATAGAAAGACCCATGGGAATCAGGGAGCGGGCTGAGTCCCTGCAAGCTGAGAGGACTCGCCATACACCCGGCCCGGGTCGGTGGGGTGAGAGGTTTTCCAGCAGCCTGGCAGGAGAGAAGGGCTCAGCCACAGGGGAGTCTCCCCTCCACAGGAGGCCACTGAATGAACACGTTGAGTCTGCAGGAGAATCTTCTCCATCCAGAGTGATAGGGCCGCACACATCGGAATTTACCAAGTGGACACTGACCGAGGAAACTGCTTTGGAGGCAGACTGTGTAACTGGATCCAGCGGTTCTCAGAGAGCATCCGGAGAAATGGCAAAGGACCCAGAAGGTATGCAAGGATCCACTTCGGGGGAATCGCCTGAGCCAGCGGAAGTTGGCAGCGACACAGGTGATGCAGTAGGTCCACCAGGGCTTGATGTTACGGCTACTTTTTCTTCCTTTTCTACCTCGGTACCAGTGTCTGTTTGCAGTAATCCTCAATCTTCACAGATAGAGTACATTAGTGCCACAGATACTCCAACTAAAGCCATCCCTCCTGAACTGCACTGTTCAGAACAGAAATTACAAACTAAAACTTTAAACACACTACTTCTACCATCTGAGCCACCAGAACATTCTGCACAAGAAAACCACCTGGAGAGCAGCTTGCGTGCCTCAAGTCCTGAATTGGGGCCACCGAATTTGAATGATCAGGAGAGCAGGGAGATAGGGTGCACAGAGATTATAAAAGACTTGGCCAAGATGTACTCCTTTCCCCAGTCAGTATTCAGGAAAGTGACGAAAGATGGACGTTGTGAAACTCAGGACCCAAGAACAGAACTCACGCTGTGGAAGTCGGATGCGACGTCATCACCAGATTCTCGGGCTGGCTTGATCAAGGGTGACTCTGGTTTCATGCAAAGTGCCTCATGGCACCATAGTGATTTATTAAGGACAAGGGGAGAGAGTCCGAGAGCTACCTCAGAACAGGAACAACAGAGTAACTGTCAGTTTGAAACAGCGGCACCCGCTCTGCAGAACAGAGGGGCAGCAGCCGTGCCGCACCATTCTGGAGAAAACAGTGGTCCTGTGGAATTCAAGGCCGCTGCTTCATTACTGCCTAATCAAGTGTCAGTCATCACAAAGCAGGCAAGACCCCAGAAGACTCAGAGAGCTCACTTGGAACACTCGAGACCAAACAGGAATGAGGCGAACTTAGCAGCCAGAAATTGTGATGACAGAAGCCAGGATACAGCATATGTAGCAGAGCGAAGTAGGGAAGGGAAGGATACAATCAGAAGCATCAAAGAAGTGGCCACTCAGAAAAGCACTGCACCAGAAGCATCTTCCTCTTGGAGAACAGGAGATTTTGATCCTCCAAGTGGTTCCTCACCAGCAGGTTTGGATTATTCTGTGGGTGGTAAGGTATCTTTCTCTGAAGACACCGTCACCCGCAGCCAGGACGATTCCAGGGACGCTGCCACTCAGGAGAAGGTGCAGACACCGAGGCAGTCAGCTCCCTCCTTGGGTCCGGACCCGTGCAGGGCAGAGGGCAGAGAGCTACTTCCTGCTGAGGCAGCTGTGTCGGGGGGCTGCCCTGTGGAAGAAACACCCTGCAGAGACCCTGGCACCCTGGGCACTGATGCCCGGGCTATTGCCAGCGATTCCCCCAGCACATCGCAGAAGAATCATGAGCCTTCCAGGGTGGCTCCTGGAACGCCTGGTGCTGCTTTCCCGGAATACTTGGTCACCGCAGGCCCTGCCTTTTCATCAGCATTGTGCAGCAAAGCTGAGACAAGGGACATCTCCCAGCGAGGCCTTCCGGGTGCCTCCTTCTGTTGTGCAGGGATTCGGGAGGTAGGGGAGAAGGACAGCGAGGTGGAAGGGAGCGAGAGCGCATTCAGCTGCAGCGAGAGTGAGCTGGAGGCTGAGGGGCTGGGCAGGGGTCCCCAGGATGCAGTGGACAGCGCGCAGAAGGCTTTGGGTGACATTGAGGCTGGGGGACCTGAGACAGGAGCTTCCCTAGAGGTGGGCGATTTGACCTCAGCGCTGCAAGAGTTTAACCTCAGTCCTTCCCCTGACATCGACAGGCTTTCCGCATCCGGGGTCCTCATGTTTCTGGAGAGTTGTCAGCTAAGGGACTGTAGTTCAGGGGACTCTGTTTCAGAATGTTCTAGCAAGGGCGCCTTAAGTAAAGAAGTGGACAAAGAGTTAAAGCCAAGGGGGATATCAGGAGAGAAGTGTGGTGAGCAGCCCTGTGAAGAAGAGATACTTGGGACCCCCGGAGAGTGGATCGAAGCCGAAGACGATGACTGTTCCTTAAAAGCTCCCAGTCCCCTTGCTCAGTGCTCCTTGGAAATACAGGCTGAGGTTCTCAGTAGAATTGGACAAGAGCTTGAAACAAATCATGAGGACTGTAATGGTAATGATACTGGTAATTTGTTGCTCTTAAATCTATATAACAGCCTGACAGTGGAAGATTTGAAAGAAAAAGTTCCATTCCCTCAGGAAGTGACTCCCCATCCCCCAGAACTGCCCCTGCCAACTGCTGCCCCAGATGTGAGAGGCAGCTCCCCTGCGAGAGGTGGGGACCACACTGAGAGCAGACCTGAGGACAGTCCTGAGGCCCCCAGGCCTGCTGCCCACAGGCAGGGCCCGTCAGCGCCCGCAGAGCCCAACACCGTGTGTGCTGACCTTGCTGCAGAGGTCAGGACCAGGCACAGCCCTGCCTGTGAGGCCGAGGTGGGCTTTCAGTGTCAGGTTCCCACAGCAACCTCAGAAGCCGTGAACATGCTGATAACCGAGACTCAGAGTCTAGTCACCGACCAGGGGGAGAGCTGGGTGGGCGTCAGTGGCGTCGCCATCTCTCCAGACACGGCCCAGGTTGCACTGTGTGGTACTCATGGAGACGTCGCTGTTTCCCAGGGGCAGGGAGGGCTGCAGGCCGCTGTTGTGTCAGTGACATCTGTGGAGAGGTCCCCAGACCCTGCACTGCAGGAGCCTCTGTGTGGCCGTGACCTTCCAGGTGCCCAGGAGGATGTTTCCAGCAGCGGCCAGGGCACCAGCTTCGATAAGAGCCGTTTGCGGAACAGACCTGTCAAACCTAGTATCTGGATTAGTTCTCAAATATACGATCAGGCATTTGAGACTCCAAATGTCACTTCTGATCACACATATTATAACTCAAAACTGGAGATATCTGGCAAGAGTAAGACTCGATCAAAGATTTCCAACAGAGATCAGCCCAACAAACCAGCGAAGACGTTAGCACCAAGCAGAGGGGAAGCTCATCAGAGTGAAGTTCCCCAGCCGGGTTCAGGGGACAGAGGTAACACAAAAACTCCCCGAGGCCAGACACAGCCCATTCTGGCAAAAGCCGACACGTCCACGCCTACAGACTGTCCTCTTGACACCCTGAGCAAGATCCGGCAGGAGGTGGGGCCACCTCTGCCACCGCTGCTCGCGCCCCTGATAGCCACACCGCCACGGACCTCGCAGCCCCTCTCTCCTCTGACGTCCATCCCCAGCCCATGCTCCCCAGCCTCTCCTGCTGACCCGATTTCCCCCTCCTGTGAAATCCCCGGGCCTCCTGTGTTGTCTCCATGGTCCGAAGAGCCCAGGCTGGCCTCCCCTCCAGGGCCCTCTCCGTCTCCCTGTGCTGCGATGCCTGGGGGCAGGACCATGTCCTCTCCTTTGCAGTTCTGTGCAGCCACACCAAAGCATGCGCTTCCTGTGCCGGGCAGGCTGCCGCCTTGCGCACCTGGCCACGCCACTCCTGTGGGCGGCCCTCAGGAGAACTCTGTGAAGATCCTGGACACCATGTACCCAGAGCTATCTGCCAGGGCCCGGACCCTCAGCATCCTCAAAGGGAATCTCCAGCTGTCCCGAGGTCCGTCTGCGGACGGGAAGACTTTAGCAGGGCCTGTGAGTGCACTGATAGGGCTCAAGGCCATCACTTCCTCCTCCACTGCTTTCGTCAAAACTGGGGGCAGCTCTGGAGGTGACAGTAGCCAGGACAGGCCAAGAGATTCGCGGACTCAGCACGATTCAGGTGGGAAGAGGACCTTGTCAGCATCATCTCTGAGGAGTGCGAAGAGGTTGCGTTTGGACAGTGAGTCCCCAGAACCAGAAACCACGGGGGCTGCCGCCAGACGAGACCCCAAGAACCCCCCAGGAAACCCCCCTCAGGCAGGAGCTAACCCCGCGGAGCAGGAAGGCAGCTGTACCTCAGCCATCGGCCCCGTGTCCCAGGTACCGCTAAAGCCAAAGGACGCGGTGGAGCCGCACGATAAAGCCATAGCTCGTGCACTGCAGAAGATTGCTGAGGCGTCTTTTGATCTGTTACCTGTCATTCGTAGTCACGTGTACGTGGGAAACATCTCCAAAAAGCCTGTGATGAGGGACCAGGAGAAAGAAGTTGTGTATGAATTTAGCACGACAAAAAAGGTATGTGGCTGCTTTTCTCTAAGTATGTTAGGGACTGCATGTCCTCAAAGGCAGGGCCCTCTGCTCTGCAAAATGGACAGATGAGCCTCAACAGTGTCATTGTAAGCTTGAGAATTGGCCGTGCAAACACCAAGACAAATGCTCGTTGCTAGCCAGCCTTATAAAATTTGAAATATAGGACACCAAAACTTTGATAGTTTGTATGCATTGAATGGGTTAAAACTTTTAAGAAAATGAGAGTCTGTCCATGTATAGCAGTGCATGCACAGCAGGGTGCCCCAGTAATGAATGCCATCGGTGTGACAGCAGGAGGGAGGTGATTGTGTGGGTTCACACACACCTGGTTAGGACTTTTAGCTTCAAATTTTCTTAATACCCAGTAGTTCCTTGCGTTGATGATTTCCCGCACTCAGTGGTTCACACTGTAGTGGTTATCTGCTCATCCTTGGAGTCCTTTGGCATAAATATTTTGTTTGTTTTTTATTACAGTGGTACCTCGGTTCACGAGCTCAGTTCTCTCCATGATTCTGGTTGTACACTGAACTGGATGAGAACTAAATCAAATTTCCCCTTAAGGTCAACATTGGACCTAACCATTGAATTTGATTTGATTCTTGTCCAACTCGATTTGCAACCAGAATCATGGGAAGAATCAAGTTGAAAAGGTGGTTTTTTTTGGAGTGAGTATCAAATTGTTATTTAATGATCCCATTCTGGAAGAAGAAAAATTTTACGTAGTATTTTAATATCTAAATGGTAGATGGAGTAAACAAGAATGTAGAAGATAAGAATATGAGTAGGATTAGACTAGGCTTAGTACTCACAGATTGTTTTGGCAAAACCCAGGAAATTATTACTTACTAAGTAGTGGGGGTGATGAGACGCCATCCGGCATCTGTGGCCTTACCAACCACAGCAAGGGGACAGACATGGGGAGTTTTTACCTCCGATTGTGCTGGCATTTTACCGCTAAGCAAGTTGTTACCAGTTAGCACTGTGGTCCACCTTCTCATACTGCGCAGGTTACATTTTTCTAATAGATAATCACATTACTTATGCCCTTTTTTGGATAGGCTAAAGATAAACATGAGTATACTTTGCTTTTTTGTTTTTTCCAATCCAGCATTTAGCAGAGTGCTTGCTTCGCTCCATTCTCTCAGAACTGAAGATTCAGAGGGTGTCTGTGGACCACAATTACATGCATGCCCTCTGCAGAGTGTATGTGGGTATTTGTCGGCAGCTTGGAGACCTGGCAAGAGCTCGCCTGTTTTGCTACAGCCTGCTGAAGGAAGGTATGTGTAGACGTGGACATTTTTGTATTGAAAATAATACTTTTGTTTCTCTTACCTAATACTTGGGACTCTGTTTTGGGGCTGCTGTGCATCTTTGAAAATAATGTTATGTTTTGTGCGTGTATTAGAGGACATAAATAGCTTACCTGGTTTTCAGTAGCATTTACTTAATCAGCACATACATTTTCACTTGAGCATAAACACTAGGGTGTTTCTTGTTACTGTGCATTTTATTCCTGTGTTGCTGCTTTAGAATGAGATCCAGTTGACAAAAATTACAGGGAGGGTTTTAAACAACAAGCCAGACTGCTGTGCTTCTAACTGGAAAGGGCAGCACTGTGCACGCATTCGCAAGCTCATGAGAAGAGGTGCGTCAGGGATGAAAAGGACACGGACTCGAGGGTTATTTTGTGATTATTGTTTCGCTACTGTTACTGCCGTCTCCGCTAAGGAATCAAACTAGGACTTCATTGCCTCAGATCGTCTGTTTTTAAATCAGGAAATGATACACCAATGCAATTTAATATACTAAGTCTAAGTGTTGCCTACAAATAGGTATTTACCCTTTTCATGGGAAGAAGATAAGCACGTTCCCACCCTTTCAGAATGTACAGTCTAGTGGTAGTGGAAGAGACAGACGGCGCACCAACAAGTTATGATACAGGAAGAGATTCCCACCATGGCAACAGACAGGAGAGCCAGGGCGGGAGGAATAGGGGCGAGTGTGAGCACCAGAGCCAGCCCTGGTACCGTGCAGGGAAGCAGTTGAACCGTAAGAATGGACCGCGGGGAAATGGGCTCTTTCAGCACGCCCTCATGGCTGCACGTCGGGAGGTCTGTGCCTGTGAACATCCTGGGGGCTGAAAGGCCGCCGTAGCGTCACGCAGACAGACGCTGGTTGCAGCAGTGGTGGGCAGGAGAGGGGCGCGTGTGGGCTCAGCCAGTCCTGTGGATTTCTGCTTTCCAGCCAGAGCAGCCCATTTTCACTGCAGTCTCCGTTCTCGCGGGTTGCTCCCGAGTCCCTCGGCTGCATCTGCATCAGGGCTTCCTCGCCCTCTTGTACTGTCACACCGCCCGAGTTGCCCTGTTTCGATGGCACGTATCACTCTTCACTGTATCCTAACTCCTTTTATTTGCTGTCTCTCTCGCACTGGCTTGTACATTCTGAAAGGATGGTGATTCATCTTGTCCCGAGTGTGTCTCCCCTCCCGAAAAATGCATTATTGGCAACCATTAACTATTAATTATGGCTTTATCATCTGAGGAATCCAGGGATCTTTCCTTGTCAAAATAACTTTTAATTTTAACAGATCAAAGTAGGCATTGCGTTTATGCTTTGATTTACCCATTCTTTTTAGACACATGGCAGTGACAGATAAAGTAGAACAGAGAAAATTAAAACTGCGCTTTGGTGACAAGTGGGATCAAAATCTTCACATTGATTGCATAGTCATTTATTCAAAAAAACCTTTTTTAATGAAATGAATACATTCATTAAGTGATGCAGAAATTCCACTCCTCTGCCCTCACATAGACCCCAGGGCACAGGTGTTTACAGCATCTTGAGTCACAGTAGCCCAGAGCTGAAACCGAACCCCAGCAGCAGGTGAATGAAAAGAAAATTGTGATCTGCCAAGCAGCTGAGTGCTGCTCAGCTGTGCGGTGGCACGTCCAGGGTGCTGGTGCCCCCATGCTCCATGACTCAGGAACGGTGCTGAGCAGGGAAGGCGGACAGCAGAATGCGCACTGCACCGGTCCGTTCTGAGCGTTTGCCAGAAGACGCTGACTTCCGGTGACAGTAAGCAGATCGGGCTTGTCTGTGACTCACTGCAGAGCTCAGGGAGGGAGGTTTGGGACAGTAGTGTTGACTGTGGCAGTGGAGGTTGGTTACCTGGATTTGTTTGTCAAAATGCATCAATCTCTGTACCCGAAGAATGTATTTGAGTGTATGAATAGGTGAGCTAGAGTGTAGGAGAAAGTATTTACAATGAAATTAATCCAGAATCTACACATTTAAAAACTCTGCAAATCAGGTTTTCTGTCCTGAGAGTCATCTCTACCTGTGGGAATGCCCAGTAATGACATGTGTCAACTCGGAGAACTGTGTGGCTACGGAAACTTAGAGAGGAAATTTCATCCATTGTTTATGTGCTCGAGGGGTTTTTTTCAATACAGTGCTGTATATTTTAGTACTATGTTCAAAATTTGGCTAAATAAAGTATGGGGATGAAAAAGCAGGGAAGACTTTGAAGCATTGCCGGGAGCAGGGCCTCACCTGGGTCACTCATTTACAGCCTTCAGCTGCAGGAGACTGTGCAAGGCGCTGATGAAATAAGTTGTGTTTGTTTATAGTTTTTAAATTCATTCACTCGATCAGACATAAAGGTTTCTTACATTGTTTTCTTTCTTGTAGATTTTCCAGAGTCTGAGAAATTGACTTTGTTTATTGCAAACATGTGGCACGATGTATTTGTCTCTCAGTCGGTGATTAGTAAAGCGATGCAGCTCGTTGCCAGGCAGCGTGCCAAAGGGGAGGTTCTGAGCTGTTTGAAAGCCTTTCTCAACTGGGAAAAGGTGAGCTCTTACAATTTCTTCTGGTACTGTACCATATTTGTAGAACTTACATAAATATTTTTACTTGGCTTTGTATTTAGTTTTGTTTTAGTTCATTATTGTTGTGGAGATATTAGCCGTCATAGTAGATCCTTTAAAATATCATTTTAGCCTAAGCTTATGCATTTTTTAAGCATTTATGAGCCGTCCCAGCAAGCATTACAGATCCGTGGACTCTATTAATTTCCCAGAGTTTGTTTCATCTGCTGGTTTATGACTGGTGAAACCCATACGTATGTATATGTGGATAAAGGGCTTCGAGTAGATGTAGATTATTTGATTCTGCAGCAGGTACTTTGGGGAAAAAGTTGATACCTGTTTCTTCCTGTTAAGCTTTTCTGAATCTACTGTGCTATATTTTTGGTTGACAGAACTGGTATTTGTTCTAAGTAGTTTGTTCTCGTATGAGGTTTTATTATTTTGTCTTTTTGATTACTGATGTGTGAAAGTAGGCAGTGTGATCAAAATACATGGTGAATGTTTAAATTTGAAAATTGCCCTTAATCCCCCTCAAAATATTTCCCCTCATTTTGAATGCATGCATCCCATTGTTCTTGCCACTTTCTGAAGCATTTCTGGAAATCTTCCCTCAGTGTCTTTACATGAGGTATTAAAACTACAGTGAAGTCTGCTGCCTAGTGCCGTCCAGTGGGAAGGCAAGGCAACACCATGACGGCGTGTCCTCATCCACTGCAGTCATTGGGTGTGGCTCTGTGCGAGGTTAAAGTCCACATTTGGATCAGTTCAGGACGTCAAGGCAGCCATGCGTGGCAGCACCACCAGGGATACCCTGAAAGAGGACTTTCAGAACTGCTTCAGAAAGTACAAGAACTGTGAGAGGAGTGTGCTCAAAGTGAGGGGAGCTATTTCGAGGGTGATTGATGGCAAGATGTCTTTAACTGTGATAATTTTTTAAACTAAATATTCACCATATTTTTCAGTCACACCTCATACTATTTGGACTGATCTTTTTTATTCATAATTTTTGCCTAGTGAGAATCCAGTTAATAGTAATAAACTTGAAGAAGAGATACTGAAGTCAATGAGAGGTTGATTTTTCTTTCATTATTTCCTTTTCTTTGATAAGCATGTATTATTTTCATGCTTTAAAAAATCCCTCATGGCTTATGTATAGAGTAGAATTTTGGGTGAATATTTGTTGGGCTTTTATTCTATTTTATGGCAGAAAAGGAAAGAGCTACTGGTGGCCCAGAATTAAGTGAATATGAAAAAGCAAATCTGTCATCACCAGCAGCCTAGCTAGATGCGCCAGAGTACATGGGTGCAAGTGCTATTCCAAATCCAGTGAGTCTTAGCAGCCAGGAGGCTTCCCGTCCCGGGGTGGGCTTGGGGCGGAGCACTGACCTGGCATGCATGAGGCCTTGGGTCTGATTCCCTGCAGCCTGGAGTAGCACTGGTCTCATGCAGCCACATGCACTCCCCTCAGGGCGGGGTGTCTCTTATCCAAGATATTTGCAGCCAGGAAGTCTCAAATCTGAGCGAGTTTTGCATTGTGAGATAACTGCATAGACTTGGCATGCTGCAAACTACAAAGTGCTCTGAGTTGAAAACTTTGCGCATCGCGCATTCACGTTGCAGGGGTTTGGACTGGAGGTGCTCAGCTCGCACTGCAGTGTGTGGAGTACTTCTGTGCCTTTTCCGGGTGCTTCCTGCTCCAGATTCCTGCAGTGGAGCTGTTACATGTGCAAGGGCTTCCCCATGTAGAAGGGGCTGCTTGGCTTCCTTTGCTACTCAGTTACAAAGTTACAAGGTTATAAGCCTCTTAGAAGCTTTTGATCCATAAATCATTCCGTTTATAATCAGTTAATTGTCACAGAAGTGTCTTCACTTTGGCCATTGATGAATATAATGTTCATATTTAAGAATTTAAGATCTCTTAAATGATCAGTCTTATTTATAGACTTCAATAATTTAGTTATTTTTTTAAGGTGATCATAAACTTAAGATATATTTCTGAAAAACACATCAAACTCAACCTTCAAATCTAATTATCATAATCTTCCTAAAAAGTACTTAAGCAGTGTTTGAATGTAAAAATCACATCGAGGATGTGGAAGATGAGTTGCATTAAATATTTAAACATTGTTCACGTTCTCCTAAACATTTATAATTAATGTTATAATTCTAATATCAAATAGGGTAAGCTGTAACTGTAACTTAAACAAGTTCTCAGCGCTTCTTCATAGCATGAATAAAATACATGTACAGTAATACCTTGGTTCACAAACACTTTGTGAACAGTTTGTTCGTGAACAGAAGCGTTTGGCAGAATTTTGCTTCTGTTCGTGAACTGTGCATCAGGTGACAAATACAGCCATGGCCATCTTCCCCAGGATCGTGGGACGCATTAGTTCGTGAACCAAGGCACCGCTGTACCTGTCACATGTCCATGGCGCTATAACGTGTATTCTTACACATGATACAGACGACTGAAGTGTGCATCAGACTCTCTTCATGTCTGAGTTTATTTCTGCGTCTTCTCAGGGTGCACAGTCCTAGTCCTCGACTTCCCAAAGGGGAGAGTGTTTGCCTTTTTGGTTGAGTTTGGCTTGTCAGCTAGATATTTCTGGACTATGATTTTGTTAGGGTTATATGATAGCTAGAGAGGTTGAGAATCGTTCGGGACACTTACACGCTACAGATTAACACGTCAAGCCCTTCAAACAGTAAAGCCAGTTTCCAAGCCCAGCCTCGTCTTGTACTGAGGCTGTAAGCCAGTATTACAGATTATCACTTTTACACTGGAATGCACCTACAGTGCTGGTGGAAATACTAGATAGCACAACCACTTAGCCAAGTAGGTGATGCTTTTGATTCTTTTATGTGTAATTTTAAAAAAATTAATTTTGTTGGTACAGTTTAAATATACGTAATGATCACATTCATCGTAGGGAGTTTGTACCTTTACATGATCTATCTTGATTCCTTTTTCCCGAGCATTCCCCTCCCCTCCCTTCAACTCCTCTTCCCCTCCTTATTTACAAAAGCTTTGTTTCCATATTTTTTTTTTCAAAAAAAAAAAGGAAAAGAAATGAGAAGAAAAAAATAAGTAGGTGATTAGGTGAGTCATAAAGTTAAGCAGATTCTTAGCAAAGGATCCAGCAGTTCTACTCCTAGATATTTATTCAAGACAAGTAAAGTTTACATCCTAAGACTTATACATCAGTACTCATAGAAACATTCGTAATAGCAGAAGATGAGCAGTAACCCAGATGTCTTTCAGCAAGTGAGGTGATCGTCCAATGGTTATACACCCCTGTGATAGATTATTACAGCAATAAAAAATATTTAAACCAATGCCTGCAGCAATACGGATAAGCTACAAATGTAAAAGAAGCTACACATAATTGCCCAGGAATGGCTGATTCAATTTTATGAATTTCTGGAAAAGGCAGACTGATCTTCAGTGTCAGAAAGATTAACAAGATTTAAAGACGCTTTTAAAGGCTTAATTTTTTTTTTTTTGTACCAGGGATTGAAATCAGGACCTTGAGCTTTCGAGGCAGGCAGCAGAACCACTGAGTTAAATCCCCGGCCCAAGGCTTAATTTTTTTTATTGTAACTAGCATTACAATTGATTTGAGTTGATACAGATTTGCATTCCTATGTAGATTGTAGCTAAGCCCTTTTGTACCTTACTGAATTCAACATCCTGCCTGTAGCTTTTTACCTGTCCTGTCCCCTGCTGTTCTGTGATCATCTTATCATAAATAGTATGACTGGGATCAACAGTTTCTGCAGCCATTTTAGAAACTTGTTTCGTAAGGTTAAATGCTAACTCACCGGATGCTTACTGTAATCTTTGAGATTACTTCTGTATGATGTAGTAGATTTGAGACTCTGAATTGTATTTTAAATGTGTTTATTTTTTCATTCACTAGAATGCTCCTGTAGATGTTGGCATCATGGTTTCTAAGCTGCTTTTGACCATACAGTTATGTCCAAAGACAGAATTCCAGCCCAGTGAGAAATTTGGGGAAGACCTGAGTGATAGCACTTGGGAATACATCTTCGCCATCGATCTGCTCTGCTCCCATCAGAAGTGGGTTTGGACACATGATAACATTATAAGGTTGGCTATTTTGCTGACTCACAAATCAGTTCTTTTAATTGTAAAATAGTCTGTGGATGCTGCATTGCAGTTAGAATCACTTTTGTTGTTTCATCAAGGTAGCTGAAACATTTTAATTTTGACGAGAGTTAAGATACATGTGTTGCTGTCGCTGTCCTTTGCTTGAGTTTTCCGTAGTACCTTTGTCTACATTTCATTGCACTCTGCTGTATCTCTTCTCAGTAAAAATGGCCTGCAGGAGGCTCACTGGCTTAGCCTCAGCGTCATTAAGTATATATTGAATGAAGTGTATGGTCTTTATCTTAAAATGCAAGTTCTGTGGAAAATCCAAAGAAACTGAAATATTCAGAATTACAGGATAACAACTTTTCACCTGAGAAAATTAAGCCTGATGCTCCAGGCATGTCCTTTGTGGACCAGGCTAACTTTTCTTGGTGCACCTGTGCTTTGGGCGGTGCCCGTGCCATCTGTGAGAGAATGGAGGGCACCATCACGCAGGCACTTCCCTTAGATCTTCATTTCCCATGGAGCCCTGGCTGAGAAGGGCTGGGTTAAGCGAGTTTATGACACTGAGAACATTCACCAAAGGGTTGGTAACCTGTGTTCTGTGGAAATGACTTTGGCGAGGACTGTTGTTTGTGCAGGGATGTTCTTCCCTCCCTGCTCCCCCCAATACCAGGAAAAGATAGGGAAAGGCTAGACATGTACGTGTCACACCACAGGGATTGAGTCATAGTCCGTCTGTAGAATGGGATTTGACTCCATTAAAATGCATAGCTGTGAGCAGATCTTTATGTGTCGACCTGGAAGAGCGTCTCAGTTACTAAGAAAGTGGCCCAGCCATGTGTCAGTGCCTGTGTGAGGATGGATGGCTGATGTGGCCTCCTCTCACCCACTTCGCATGGGAGGCCAGGAGGCAGGGCCCTTGTGTCCCCTCATGGACCAAGGACCAGAGCCGGTAGCTGTCAGAGCGCTCTGTCCACCATCCTCCCTGCCTGGGAGATTCCAGAGCCTGCCTCTTCCCTCAGCAGTTGGGCACTCCCACCATGCTGTTTGCATGAAGAAAGGGGAGGATGTGCCTGGAAAGAAAAGCAGAAAGTAGAAGTGTAAGAGTTTGCTGAGATGGGGTTAATGTTCCGTTTTTATGTGCATCTGTCTTCGGTGATGCATTGCGAACACCAAGCAAGAACTCAGCACCTTTTTGTCAAAAAGAGAAAGGAGGGCTGAACAGGTAATGCGTTCAGTCCATGGAAGGTTTCTTTTAGCCATCTGAAGTGTGCTTTGATTCATGATATTCTTCCCTTTGGCTTAGCTGTTTTGCACACGTGGCTTCTGGAACTCAGCCTGCCTTAGATTCCACCATTTCCTAGTTCTGTGGCTTTGGGGTACCTTAAGAAGAGTTAAAACGGAATAACGATGCACGTGTGTGTGGGCACCTGTAGCCCCTTGTGAGCCAGTGTGGGAACAAGTGTCCTGAGTAGGCAAGATGTGAGCTTCCAGTATTGTCTGTTCCCGTGTAGGCTAAACTGGTAGCTCATCGGCGCCTGCTCTGTTCACTCACTGTCCCTGAGCCATGTGCAGGGTCACATGTTCTTGGAGTGCTGATGCCCATATGCCTTCCCTGTTGTTGTTTTACAGTAAGGAGCTGTGGCCTGTGATGGATAAGTGGATAAAATACAGGAAAGGACATGCAAACGTTGCGTACACTCCCGACGTTATCATAGCGTCCATCCTGAGACTGATTGGTGAGTGGTTTTATTCTGGCTACAGTGTCCTGGAGGGGACCGGTACATACTGACCATGACTGGTTTTACAGCTGCCGGAGCCGGTGGTTGTGTGCTCAGTCCTCCCACACTAACTAGGTCGTACCCACCTTCGTCAGAGATCAAGATTTGTCACTTTAGTTCATTTGCTTCTTAACTCTACTCTTGCTTCTAGATATTAATAGCAATACCACACACATCCGAGTACATAAATTGGTAGGAGTAGTCTCATGTGGTATCTGAAATCGGGATATCTTCTCACGCTCTACCCAGTTTTTTCAGGCTTGCCCACTTAAAATCACTGTTCAAAAATACTTTGAATGAGACAAAGATTTTCATTATTCTCAGACCTAAAGAGGACCTCAGTGACCATTTGGTTCTACTCCTTCCCCGGAGCCCCAAGTCTTTGTTTTCCTCTTCATCTCATCTCTGTCACGCTGCTGTCCACACCTGGCAGAATTCTCAGTGATGAGTTCTGGTCATTACTAAAGGGCTCTCCTCATTTTGAACTGACTTCTGCCTCATAGCTCCTCTGATGGCTGTGATATAGCCCTTTAGATAGTTGAAGATGATCACTGTGATTTAAGAAAAATGTGCTAAACGTTTATGCAAAAGAAAAGTGTGTATTTGTAGGGCAAGCACTGAATTTGTCTTTCTGTCAAATTAAGGTTATTCTTTAACTCTTTAAAAGCCTGGCTTTTGAGAGATAGCCAAATAATTGAGGACATTTAATATGTACTCTTTAATATATGCACACTTATATGATTGAGTGAGGTATAGTACAGTTTTTGTCATACCAAATAAGTTAACAAATAATTGGCAATACCGTCTAAAATGATAACATACAAATGTATGCCTGGAGTCTGCAGGATGGATCGCTAGAAAGTGTAGTGTAGAAGCAGAGTCAGGAATACTCCATCCTGCTGGTGTGGCCCCGTGCTGGGGTCAGGACCACTTCTGCTGGTCCTTGGGCACTGAGGTCCAGCTCAGCGCAGGGCTGCAGGGTGTGGGCAGGGGTGCGGAAGGCCAAGGCCAGGGAGAAAGGGCCTGACGCCTGCTGTGAGCCCTGCAGCCTCTGCCTTTCCTAGTGACAGCAGGGTCTGGCGCCCGTCTGTTTCATGCACACACTCATCTGCACCGGCTGTTTGAGTTTTCCTGAGAAGAACCTCTTCCTGTGTATAAGGCTGGCCTTGGCTAAAGACCTTAGCAAACAATAAATTGGTAGACCAAGAACTAATGACATAACCGAAATCACTTACTAATCATTCATGAAATAGAAAACACCCTTACTCTGGATTCCAGAACTGCAGAAGTCCGCACTAGCAAGTCTTATTCTGTGGCAAATAGAACAAGCTTCCACGTGAGTCTAGTGCCACCTCCCGCGGAATGGAGGTGTGAGCTTTGCTGTGGCCGTGTGAAATTCTAAAGTGGGGTTTTCCTGGACCCGCCTGAACAGCATGTGCTCAAGGCCAGCTGTGGGGTGCTGGACTTGCCTGGCGTCACAGGGCGTCCACGGAGGAGTGGTGGGCCCGACCTCGGCTTCGCCTTACCGCTCCTCCTTTCTTGGCAGCCTTGAGGCCTAGGGGTCAGTCACCCTGGACAGAGGCCACTCGGTGGGAAGGGAGCGGAGCTGGCGCAGAACTTCCTGCTGCTGGATTCAGTGGCGAGCACAGCTATGCAAGGTCACCTTGCTGCCCCCAAAGTGCCCATTGGATCCTGAGCAGTGTGGCCACCTGGTGCGCACAGGAACCCTGAAGTGAGATAACCGTTTCCTGTCTCAGACTGAGATGGCCAGCACCTGTTGGTTTCTGTCCACTCTCCTGTCCAGTCGTCCAGCTCTCCTTTGGGGTTGTCTCAGCTCACCCTTTCCTTAGTGTGCCTGCAGCTGAAGTCTTGAAGGAAGCTGGACTCTGTCTTTCCCTGGTTTGCAGGCCACCCTAGACTCCCCTTGCTCTCGGGCCTTCAGCTCCTACCAGGCCATGTGGCTGTGTACTGGAATGGGTCATCTTTGACCTTAAGATTCACTCCTCACTGAATACTCAGACATTCTTTAGTGAGGAACTTCTCTTCATCTCTTTAGGAAGTCAGTTCAGCATCCTTGTCAAGTCATTGTATATTTCTTTTCCCCCAAATGTCTTCTGTAGATTCATTCCTTTTATTCCTGATGGCTCCATTAAATTAAACTCTTTATAAAACTCAATCTTACTAAGTATTGAAATAGAAAGGAAGGGAGTCATTATGTCATGGTGATGTGCATTATCTGGGACAGCCGTACATCCTGAGACTGCAAGACCGTGGGCTGCTCTAGTTGCACCTTCCTCTCTGTGCTCTCAGCTCTGTATTCAATACTCATGGGTGATTGGCCCAGAGGACACATCTGGAGCCTGTGGTTAGCAGATGGATCTAATTGCAAGGAGATACTTAAAAGTGATTATAGCAACCTGAAATTTCTGATATTTGAAGTACATTACTTTTCAGCCTCATCAAAAGGCTACGTAAAGATCACCTAGATATTTACAGTGTCATGCTGGTTTAGAAGTTACCCACATACTCTTAGATCAGTAGGTATTAACTGAGCATTCAGGGTGTATGTAGCACACACTAGCCTGGTTCCCACTGAAAAGTGATGAAGGTTACCTTACTAAAGTACTCCATGCCTCAGTTTCTCTGTATTCAAAGTAGAAAGGCTCATGAGCTGCATTCATTCATCAACCTGTATGAAATTTGTACTACTGAGATGCAACGTGAACACAGAACAGTGAGCATGCAGTGCAGTACTGCCATGAAATCTTACCTAGGATGGATTCCAGAACCTTCCTGGGTAATGAACAAGTCGGAAGAAGGCGTAGGCCATGATGAGCGGCAGGAGTGAGCTTCTGATAGGGAAAGTTTTAGATAACTTAGTAGATTGACTATTAAGGTAGTTGTAGAAGCAAAATAAGTAATGTGTTCCTTTAAGATTTGCTTTTCCCATAAACTCTTGTTGTTTAAGGTGACATTTATCTGACCCTTTAACCAGTAGCTTCATTAACCTAAAAAACTATTCCTGAGTGGATTTACAATGTATATGTGCTTACCTTGTGTCTGTGACTTGTAAATAGGAACTGGAATTGTGTTTATACATCAAAGACCACTAGGGATGAGAATGGCTAAAAAGGATATAAAAAGGAAACACGAACAGGGGTGCGCGGATACTAACCAGACCTGTTTCTGGTGGTCCCGCCTGCTTGCAAGTAGAACTTTTTTTATTTCACCTGAATTCTGTGTCTCCGTGTATTTCTTTCTGAGATTACTGGAACATTTGGTTCCCTGACCGGGAATTGGGAATGAAATAGCCCTTTTGGGCATCGGCCCAAACCCCACCAGAGGGAGCGGCTCTCCATCTCCTCAAAGATGCACCCCTGGGACTAATTTCCTAGGCTCCCCAACAGGACATGGAGACCTGCTCACCGGCTGAGGATTGGCCGAACCCAAGACAGAGGACGACAGAAGGAGGGCTGCTGCTGTTCGTGTCTCATCTATCTCTTTCCTTTGCTGGGTGAGAAACCCCAGGAAATCCCCTAGTCATTAACTTTCGGTTTCACTTTGGTTTCACTTTGTGAATTTGTACTTTGTGAACTTTGGGCAAATACAGCGCAGGGGCCTGATCACTTCTTGTGCTTTGCCATTTGGGAAGGTAGCTTCTTTCATTTGCTTTGGTTACAGTTAGGGGTTCACTGGGGGGTATGTGATAACTTCTGAATAAATGTGTGACTGAAAGACTTCTGGATAGGAGAGTGTGTGGAACGAGACAGAGGGAGGAGGCGATTGCGCTTAGAGTCCTCCCAGAGTCGCGAAACTTGTGTGTGGTCTTTGTTTTGGTTCTGTCCTCGGCGTTTAACAAAGACACAATGGTGAGCTTATGCAACAGCTCACCTTAGCCTGAACGGACCTCAAGGTGCCTGAGAGGCCCGCAGCCAGGCAGGCGAGCGAGTGATCCCCCACCTTTGTTTGTCTTGCATCTCTGTACAAGGGTACCCACACACACCAACACTCTGATCGGCTGATCGTGGAGACAGAAACATCTCGTCCTACTGTTTTGGAATGCATGGTTAAGAATTTTAAGAATGGTTTTACTGGAAATTATGGTATTAAGATGAAACCCCAAAACTTAGAGCCTTTTGTGAGTTAGAATGGCCCACGCTTTGCCTAGCTTGGCCAACTGAGAGATCCCTAGGTGAGGGTCTCATCTTGTCCACCTGGCTAACAGTCACTGCCTCTGGACGGAAACATCCCGATCAATTTCCCTATATTGATTCATGGCTCAAATTGTGCCACAGAATGCCTCCTTGGCTTCATATGTGTGCCCCGGAAGTGAAAAGCAGCATCCTGGTCCTCTGTCAGAAAGGAGACGATGCTGAAAAGTAACCGGTCCTTTCAGATCTGGACCGAGAGAATTTAGACTTTCCCCCTCCTGTTGAGTTGCTAAATTCACAGGTGTGGAGGAGGTGGGCACAAAAGCCTGAGAACTGCTTGGCCTTGGAGCACCAGAGGGTGTGTGCTGTGGTCAGACTCAGAGAGGATCGAATGGGGCTCGCCCTCAAGTTGGAAAAAAAGAGGACATAAGTAATGGATTGAAAACAGCTACGAAAGCTCAGAAGGGCATAAAACAAAGCCAGAAAAAGTAAGAAATTTTACAAGAGAAATCAAGTTACAAAGTTTAGCTAATTGATAAATGTGTCTGTTTCAGTTTCAGTTGATGTTTAATTGGTGTGCTTAAAATATTTCTTGTGCATTGCAAATTGTTCAATTGTAATTATAGGGTTAACTTGCTCTTTTCTGTACTTAGTTGATAAAAAACTCAAGGTTACTACCATTCTGTTGGCAGCCAACCAAATTTAAAGTGTAACAATCTGAGAACGAAAAAGGAACACTTTAAAATTTTAACAGCTAAAGACAAGTTTGTGATAAAAGGTCTATAGTAAGTGAGATAAAAATATTAA